TTATAAATTAAAAAATCAAGTATATTTTAGAAGATTAATTGTTTATTGATGAAAAAAATACATGAATTAATAATATATATAATTATAGAATGAATATATATACTGTGTAATATATTGTAAAACTATATCTTTATATATAAAATAATATATTTGTACTATAAGACATTATTAACATATCATACATCAAACACACTTTCCAAGAATAAAAAAACTAATACAACATGATTTATAAATAGGAAAGTATATATATTATTCTATAAAAATTAAATTATTATTAATAACATTTTCCTTATAATTAACATAAATAATATAAAATATATATATAAATTTATAAATTTTCAAAACACTTGTCAATATACATACTATTATAATAAAAATGTAATAAACAACATATATATTATTAAGTGTAAACTCAATAAATATAACAAATATTATAATTCCAACAGTAAATTCTAAAAAAAAAATTATAAAAGTATAAAATAAATACTAAAAAAATATATAAAAATATGAAAAATTTAAGATATATATAAAATCCTAAACCCTAAAACTCTATAGTCAATCCAACAATTCAAATCCATGAAACATAAAACCCTGAAACTAAAACATATACTATTATGATTATTTAAGTTACAGGTGCCCATAAATACCATATATAATACATTAATCATTTTCATTGTCATATTATGTTTTAATAACGGTAACAACATTTTAAAAATTATTATTTAGTTAACACTTCTTTGCAAAAGGCACAATATTTCTTAAAATTCATTATATACTTCCTAGATTTTAAACGTTCATATTTTACAATTTTTATCATTATATAAATAATGGATACCAAGAGTAAAATTGATAATATTATAATAAATGTGCCATAAATTTGATAATCATAAAATGGTATACCTAAAGTAATATAAAGAAGATGACTAGGAGTATCATTTTTCTTTATCTTACTTGTTAAAGGATAAATTAAAGCAGATAAATGAAATAAACAAAAAACTGTACCATAGAGTCCATAACGCACACAAATTTTTTTTTTCAATCTTTCATTTTCATTATAACTACTTTCAGCTATTTTATCTATTTTATTAACATTATCGAATATATATTTTTCACAGTAATTGTCAAATTTTCCTAATCCTTTCCTACTATAATATCTTTGCTTATAGTACTTCATGTAAGTGTCCAAATCATTTATTCCATGTTTATTTATTTCTTTATATTTTAACATATCCTCTTCTCGCTGCTTTTTAAGTTTCAATTTTTTTTCCTTTTCTAATTCTTTTTCTCTCATTTCAGGACTCTTGTTTTTTTCTAAGAAATCAAATTTTCCGATATTATATAATATTTGTGATAAACATATAACTACTATAGTAAGAAATGCTATATTATTTAACTCTGTATATTTACCGTATAAATTTGAATTGCATTTATGTGTTAAAAAAATAACTAAAGAATAATATATAGAATGAACAGCAATCTCATGTATTTTTTTCCCAGTATAATCACACAATATATTAGAAATTCTTCTACTTAATGGAATAACATGTAATCTAGGGTAATCTTTAAATATGGCTCTTTCTAATGTTTTATTCATTATTTTTTCTTTTACTACATGCTTATCTAATTTTTCAGGTTCATCTAGTAACAATCCATTAACACAATCAACCAGCAATTCCATATCTTTGTATACAGAGGATATTTTGTGGGAACCATTGTTTATAGTATATTTTGGGTTAAAAAGTTTTAAATTAACTTTTAAAGCTTCTTGTTTATATTTTCTTTGGAATATCCTTATAGCCAGTGTGCGTTTATTTCTTGTAATATATGTATTATAAGTATTGAATGTGTTAGAAAAATATTTAGAAAATATACCCTAAATAATGATATAATATATATTTATATAATTTAACATATAGTTAAATATAAGCGTAAATTTTTTTTTTTTTTTTTACATATAGATAATATTAAATAATATATATAATATTCATATACATAATTAATATACTTCATCATCATAATGGTGGCATATACATAACAGAACTATGAATGCAATAATTATAATTGAAGTTATACAATTCTTTTTTCCCCTCATATTATATACATATTGCCATAATATAAATGAATTAAAATTTTATATTTCATACAAGATATAAGAATAATAATTGTATACTTTATTAATATATATTAAAACCAGCTTACTATATTAAAAACATTTAAAATGACACATATATTTTGAATATTAATATTTTTATCTTAACGATATAAATTACAAGGTTATTTTGATTTATGTTCTGTAAGAATCATATATATCAATTAATATATAGATTATTTTGTAATTATTCTTAAAATTATTTATATTTTTATTAATATATGCAAATACATAAATACATAAGGAAGAAGTATTACATATATAAAAACATAAGATAAGGAATTCATATATATAAATAATATATTATAGATAAATTCTTTTATTCATTATAGAATTCAAATTATCAAATGGAACACTTTGTTTTTATTTGTAAAAATATATTTACTCCATTCTCTATATGAATTTATTAAGAGAGTAGTTTATGAATATCAATTGTTAGAACACAATAAATATATCTTATTATATAAAAAATATTGATATGCGAATATAAAAATTCTTAACTTTTTATTTCATATGCTTTACGTATTTGAACTACAATATATAATGATTACTACGATTATTAAGTTACATATATATAATTGTTTAATTTTAATATATTATTACTTCAATTATACCTGTATGAATACTGTAACTTTTTGTACACATATATAATTTATAAATATATATATATATGATATTCTCTTATACAAACTATATTAGAAAAATGATATAATTTATAAGAATGTTCTTATTATATTGACTCTAACACCCTTGGATTAATAATAGTATACTCAATGTCTTAAGTATAAAAATATAAAATTCTGTATGGAAAATTTTATTTTTATGAGAATTAGTGTAAGCTCCTTAAATAATACATATACCTATATAAAAATTTATTTATATTGATATTTATAATGATTATTTATACGAAATCAATTAAAATCTCATATTTAATATTTAAAAATGAACTAATACATATTAACAACTGAAATGGGTTTATTTACCAATGCAGATTAATCTTATAATTGAACATAATAAATTCATTTCCTTTTTTATTATATATTATTCAAGTATAATTTTAGATTTAACGTCTGATATATATAATATTTATATTTTTTATGAGTATTATTTCTATGTTATTATGCAATGAATAATGCAAATAAAAATTTTAGTATGTAAAATAAAATTATTACAGCCATATTTATTATATTCTATATGTAAAAGAGTCTAAAACTTGAAAAATTTTATGATGATTTGCTCTTTAAAAAAAATTTTCTTTTTAATAATCCTTAATTATTTTACTTATATGTTTTATTAAGATCCCAAAAAATATAAATAGAATTTCTTTTATATACCATTATTTATCAAAAGATTCATGTTTAGTGTAAACTTTATAGAGTACATAAATTATTTTATTATCAAAATATAAAAAAATCATGAAATAATTAATTTCGTTATATTCGTTAAAACTGTTATTTGATTTTTAAATTATATATAAATTAAATATTGTGATTTATTCATAATGTATATTTTTTTCATCGGTATATTTTATATTCTAATAAATTTCGTGTTCTTAAATATGTTTTCAATTGTAACATGTAAGAACTATTTTTCTATTTATTATTATAATTCTTACTTTAGTGATTTTGATAATAACCTAGATTCCCCAATGATTCAATGTATACTAGAACACAAATATGATATAAACTCAGTTAAGCATATACAATTGATATATATATTGTAATCCTTTATTTTTTATTAATTTTTTATAATTAAAATAAATATTCATAACACATACACAAATTTACGTACGATATATTTAATAATATTCATATTTAGTTCTCATAAAATATGATAAGAATAATTAAAAGTAAATATAAACATATATAAACATATACATATATGTACACCTAATTAAATTAACAGAGACAAAATGATATATAAATCTAAGAAAACATGAGAAAATTGTACACAAGTATATCAAAATTTTTTCTTTTGTTCTTTTACACTAACGTATTTTTTGTATAACTTATTTCAACATTTATATATATTTCAGTTATAGCTACCTAGGAATTAACTCTAATACTATTAAGAGCACCTATAATTATATAATATATATGAATTTATTTCCTTGTTCTAAAGGAATTTAAGTAATCCTTATGTTAGATTAACTAACAATTCATTTTATTATTTAGAATATTATAATACATTATTGTATTCGGTTCATTTGATAAGAGATTAGTAATTAAGTTAAATAAATAATTATAAACTACACAATTTAATATATTTGCATCTTTAAATTATTCACATCCTAATATACATTATAATGGGCCAATAATTAGTGATATAATGTAAGGAAAACATACTTACTATTGTTTAGGAATAAAATTATAAAAATTACTCCATAATTCTAATCAAAACCATATGTATGATTTAGTAACTAACAAAAAAATGAATACTTTTCTAATATAGCCAATTAATAACACCTTAATTATAGGGATTTATAGAAAGCAGTAACATTTATCATTATATTAATAATATCCTTTTCATTATATTATAGTTTTATATTCGCATGTTTCAGATATAAATGTTTCTTAATTATAAATATTCCTGTAAATAATGGCTGTTTTATATTTTTTAATTTAATTATTAACTATATAATCATATTAAATGAAACATATCATTATTATCTAATTTTATAAGTGATACTATTTATGAAGTAATTCCCTTTTATATTTAATTAATTAATATTAAAAAAATTTTCATCATATATTTCATTCATATTTCTATACGCATGTTATTAGACAGAAAAAATTGCATATTAACTGTTCTTTTTTTATATTAATTTATATAGTTTAGTAAATAAATACGCTTCTTATTACCAGTGTTTATAGATTAAGGTTCAGATTTAGGGGCTAGGGTTCAGTATTCAAAGTTTAGTGTTTAGCCTTCAAGGTTTAGTGTTTAATTAGTTTATACATAAATATGTGTTTTTTCTTCTCATTCATTATTCTCTTTAAAATTAAATTCTATGGCCTCTTCTTTATTTTTTTTTATATATGTTTTACTACTTCCAAATGTTTCACCTAGAAAATCATCACCTATCTTTTCCTTAACATTCTTCTTAAATACAATTAAAAGGATAGCATAACAAATATATAAACTGAAAATAATTCCTCCTGCATATAAAACGTTTGTCTTATCTCTCCATGGTTTAGAATTTTATCCATTTTTATTCTCAATACACTTAATACCATCGTTTAAGGCGCTCTTATCGGAATTATTTTATTCTGGAGGTAATTTGGGAACTTGTTCTCTATATAATTTTACCTTTTGTTCTTATATATAACCTAGCAATTTCTCTCTGACCATCAGACGAATTATCAATAACAGTTGAATTTAATATATTATATACTTATTTTTCTAATTTAATATTTTCATTTTCAGATTAATTTATTAAAACTTATATTTAGCCTAATTGATCCTTTTATGATATTAATTACATTATAGTAACCATCCATAAAATATTTATCACATT